ATAATGCAGCATCATCTAAATTCGAACTGTTCTTATTATGGCTACTAAATTTCAATCGTCGTAGTTTGAATTTTTCTGTTTTGCCGCGAAATTATAGGAATTTTACGTTGGATGTATGTGTTTTACTTCTGCCCTATCGAGTGATTAGTTTTGTCATTTGCTTTGATGTTCTGGTAGTCGTAAGTAATATAACGATGAAAACATTACATATATGAGTTTTTCAAGGTACCCTACCCTCACTTGAATCCGATGTTCATATAGTACAGATCCCCTGGGCCATTGAACTCTTGGTTCCCTATATTTAATTAAATATTAATCTATCACAAAAGTGGAATAAACAATTTGTTTGCATATTATGTCTTAAATTGATAAAACAGAGGTTGTTTTTGTGATTCTTTTCGCCACAAGGTCAACAGATAGCAACAAAAAAAAAGTCTTTTTCAACAAAATTAACAATCTTGAGTAGTCTTACTACTTTGAGGAACATGTACTTTTTGACTTTTATGATCAAAGGAATAACCTTTTAAACATAATTGATCCTTTATTTTTCTAAACTTAATAGAAACATCTTTCACATTTGAATATTTCATATATTATCACTTGATACAATCTTGAATCTCCTGATAATAATGTAATGTCATGTTCTTTATAGGTACTAGAGTTTGCTGGATGCCATGGAACTCTTGAAAAGTAATATGCCAATGTGCCCTGCAGATGAACATTGCTCACAATGGGCTAGGAATTACATGAAATATTGTCTTTGCACAAGGAAGGATTGGATTTCACTGATATTGGGATTAATTAGTGTTATGAGTTGGGGTGTTGCAGAGGTACCTCAGATCATCACAAATTACAAACAAAAATCTTCAGAAGGCCTTGCTATGTGTTTCCTTTTGACATGGATACTCGGGTAATAATAATATACTTGTATTTTCTTCACTCAAGATATGTAACTCTGATCAAATAACTCACAAATCTTCATTCTTTACTTTTCCTTTTTTCCCTTATTTAATTTTCTTTTTCTGTTTGTCAGAGATCTTTTCAACGTGTTTGGTTGTTTGCTCGAACCAGCTACAGTGAGTTTCTGTTTTTGTTTAAAGATATGTTATTTTTCTTCTTTATTGTTTTAACTATGGTGTTTGGCTCTAATCTCTTATCCTACAGCTTCCTACACAGTATTATATGGCAGTGGTAAGCAGTTTATAACCCACAAAGTGTCTTTATTAATTTTTCTATTGTTATAAATTCAATTTGCACTATTGATTGGCATGTAGTTGTACTTGGTGACTACCTTAGCTCTTACATCCCAAGCACTTTACTATGGTTACTTCTGTCATCAAAATACATCCAAAAGACAAGATCATAAGGTAAGAATTTTCCTTTTTTTTTTATTTTAATTCATATGGTAGGAAGTTCTTAATCCATAAAGCTTCCTCACTTTTACAGATTGAGTCAGTAGACAAGAAAATAAGATGCAACCTGGAAGAGTCAACGGCTCCTATGCTATCAAAACCCACTCCAAGTTTGCCAATTCCAGCTGCTGATTACGATTCTGCCCCTGAGAGAGTATACTACACGTAATGCTCTTCCATTGAAGCAATTACTTTATAATATATCTCCATGTTTTTTAGTTTTTATTTATATATTTATCTTTCTTGTTGATTGGTGCAGCTCTGCTAGATCTTTAACTAGAAGTCACACTCCTACAAATTTCTTTCAAAGAGCAACTACCCCTATATCTATATCTACATGTGATCAGGGTTCTGTTCAAGAACCCTTGCTTTTGGGAAAGTCAACACCTGCTTCACAACCTAAGACTATGCTATGTGTGGTGTGTTTGTTGTATTTATATGCAACTTCTTCATTTGAAAGAAAACTAATAATCTTGTCACTGATTTTGAGATAAATATGGTGTTTTATGGTTCAGGTTTTCACTGTGGCAGTTTTCTTGTACACATCGAATCTCAAACTTGAAAGAAACAGTTACCTTGAATCTACTTCTGTAAAACCACATGAAGGATTTGTTATTCAAGTGGGAAGAAAGCTTTTACAGGTAAAGGTTACTAATTTGGTTCTTTAAAGTTTAAATCAACAACATATATAAACGTACTTTGTACTTATTTTTTTTTTCTTGTTATTACATTTACAGCATTGTAATTTACTTAATATTTATTATAACTGCAGGTAAGTGGCAGTTTACTGGAAGGTAATGAGAGAAGCACTCAGAGTATTGGAATTGGTACCTTCCTTGGTTGGGGAATGGCAGCTATTTACATGGGTGGACGCCTCCCACAAATTTTCTTAAATGTAAAAACCCCTCCCTTTTCTTAAATTCAATTTAAAAAAAAAAAAAATGAAAAACTTAATTTCTGTAGTGTATTAATATGTTTATATTTGGATGTCCTTGATTTCTGCAGATAAGAAGGGGACATGTTCAGGTATATCTTTGTTTATTATTTCTTTTTTGAGTGGGAAATTTTTTAATAAAAACATGTATCTGTCAAATGTGTCTGCATATTGAAATTAATGCTTGATCAGTTATGGTATTCTCTCAAATGTGTAGGGTTTGAATCCACTGATGTTTGTCTTTGCACTTGTTGGGAACTCTACTTATGTAGCAAGGTTAGTATATATGTGATATCATGAATCAAGTATGATTATAATGTTAATGAATTTTTTAAATATATGTAAAATCTGTAAAGTATTTTGAAACGTATGATGTTTATGTATTTGTGTAGCATACTTGTGAACAGCCTGGAATGGTCAAAAATACACCCGAATCTTCCATGGGTGGTGGAAGCAAGTGGATGCGTGATGCTTGATACTTTTGTATCCTTGAAAACTATGTTTTTTTTTTTTTTTTTTTTGCGCCTTTTATAAAAATAAATCATTTGAGTTTTATAAAATATATAAAGTTTTATATTTTTCATATGGCTGTTTATCCTTAACATGCAGCATGTAATACTAGATTCTAATTCAGTTTATCTACTTTCGCTATCGGAAAAATAGAAGTATTGACACGAGGCATAGGGAGTTGGATCCATGATTGTTAAACAACAAAAGGAAGTAGAAATTTGTTGTTTTGTTCAACACTCCTTTGATTTATTTCTTATCTTAATTTAATAGAAAACATTTCATACAAAATGTTTCTACGTGTAATATGCATATGGAGTGGAAAGTTGTATTTGAGGTATTTTGCATGGTTGACGCTGTTTGACATTGAGATTCTTTTGTTTCAAAGTGGGCTCTAGTAATGACAAAGAATTTCAAGCATTTCATTGATCTTTAATTAAAAATGACTATCACGATTATAAGAATACAACATATGATGATTTCCCAAAATGCGAAACAATGAAATTACACATAATTGATGATGATTGAAAATGTTATTTTATTTTATTTGGCATCTTGCTGACCATTTGTAATTCTTCAAAATATAAGTATCACCTATTTATATAACACTAAGGCCTCTTTGGTAGACATATTTTCAAAGAGCTTCCTGGCTAAATGGTTCGAAAAAACTGTTTTATTTGTAAAAAAAAAAAAGTTTTCCCTACTAAGATATGTCTTTTCCATAAAGTCTGAAAACTATGTTTATATTTGGCGCGCCACAGTTAACTTATTTTTCGAGTTTTTCTAAGTTGTCATATTTGGTAAGCCAAAAAGTAGCTTATAAATTAGCTTTTTAAAAAGTTACTTAGATTAGTTTTTCATGAGCTTTTTAAGAATTTTTCAAATATACTCCTTCATTAATTATAAAAATATATTCTTTTAAATGTCATTTTATATCATTTCATATTTTTCAGCTAGTTTACCACACGTCATTTTTTATCAGTTAACTTTTTATTTAACAACTAGTTTTTCAGTTATCAGCTATCTTTTCAGCTAATACTCCAAACATACCCTATATCTTTCTGGCTGAATGGTCGGACAATTGTGCCCGAAACCTAGCCTTTTTCTTTCTTATCTTTGGCACTCTTCATCATACAATCATTGCCTCCTCACATAGCTCCCTACTTCGTTGCCACTGCAACCACTAACTTCGCGTCTTTTTTTATTTGTTTCATTTGGCTAAAATTGTAAAAATGGTCCTTGTGGTTAACAAAATTTTATGATTTTGAAAAAGTTTTGTTAATGTACCAATGGTCCAAAATTGGATCTTTTTATTAGTTTTGGTCCATATCCACTTAAAAAGATGATTATACCCCTCTTATTTGTTTTTTTTTTAAAATTTTTTTATTAAGTTTAATGATTTTAAGTAATTAAAATAATAAAATGGCCCACTCTACCTTTATCTGTTTCATCTTATTTTCTTTCTTCTAATTTTCGAGCATAGGATTTAGGAAGACCATTTTATATATAAAGTTTCAATCGAAAATTATGATTTTAACATACATTTTGTGTAATTTTGATTTTGTATGATAATTTATATTTGAATTTTTAAATTATTATTATGTAATTTTGATTTTGTATGTTTTATAATTATTCAATAACCAATCGCAATATAGAACAGTAAGGTAATATGGTCATTTTTCATTATTCAACACAGTCAGTTAGATATATAATCAAACAACATGATTCATTTCCTAGTCAGTAAATTTTCTCACATAACACTTTCTTAGCCAACAACTATCAAACGGACCCTAAAACATAATGTATAAGATTCTATCGGTCGGATCGAGAGGTTTGTTTGAAACAATCATATCAACGACTATCAAACGATCTTTAATTTAAATACCACATGACACGCCGATCATCGTTATGAATGATTTTTCATTTTAAAAAGGAAGAAAACACCAAAAAAAAAAATGTGCGCCGTATATCAAGAGTGTAGCATTACCCATTCCGGTAATTCATAATTGGTTTGGTTGATGTTGAATCTCTTAATCCATATGAGTTGAGACACAATATTTCATAAGTTGGAGGGTTGGAATGCTTTAAATCAATAATAAGGGGGTTTAAATGCAAATTTACCACGTTTTGACTGGACAGGGAGTATAGGCAGAGCATCGTGTACTGTAACGGGCCAAATTTGAATGGATATTGGATGGATGTGCACAACTACACTCTACAAATAATGCATATATAATTGAGCCTAAAAGCTAAAAAGCACAATTTCAAGCACTAGTTTTTGTCGTTGCGCTGACGGGATAGCTAGGAAATCGAGCAAGAGTCGGGAAGAGGGATACCGCTGATTCATTCAATCCCTCTCTTTGAAAACCCAAAACCCTAGATTCAGTTATCCTCTATTTGTGTTTATTTTTTCCTACTCAGATTCACAATTTGAACAATTTTTAGGACAGGGAGCAGTTTTTCTTGAGGAAATCAATACAAAAATGAGCAGCAAGAAGGAGGAGGAGCGAAATGAGAAAATTATAAGGGGTTTAATGAAACTTCCCCCTAATCGAAGATGCATCAACTGCAACAGCTTGGTATGTGTTTCTATGTATATACCTTTTTAAAGTTTACAGTTTCTTTTAGTTATATACTAGTTTTATGTTTGTAGTTTTTGGAAGTTTTCACACATGTTGTTCATCGTTGTTCGTGTATTCATGAATGTTGCTGATAGAGACCGAATCAGTTGCTTACCGGAGGTGTACCTAATTATGATAGTTAACATTAAGTTGTTTCATTGTAACGATGAGACTCCCAGTTATGTAACAACATTGCATATAAATAATCTTTTTTGCAATCGAAACAAAGTAAGAATAATAGGCGTTTCAAAAGTTGGAGACCTACCTTTTCTACTTGAAGACAATTTATCTACTTAAGTGAGTATTAGCTCACATAAGTCTGAGTGTTTTCATAGTTGATTTCCTAGAACTGATTCATAAGGGGACATCCACATAGCTAAATTAGTATGCCATATTGATGATGAGATTCTTACTTCTCTCTTAAAGTGACAGATTAGTCTTTGCATTCCTCTAACTCCATGGGAGGCCCGAAGCACAAAGTGTCATATGCTCCTTCTGTTAATAATCAACTATAACTTATAGCTCAATTATTTATGTAAAGCATACTAGCCTGGGGTTATAGCAAGTTACTTGAAATAATAATTGTATAATTTGTTTATTTTGGTGATAAAACTTATATTGCTTCACCCTGTTCCCTGACCATATTTTAATGTTAAAATTTGATTTCCAGGGACCTCAATACGTGTGCACAAATTTTTGGACGTTCATTTGCATGACATGTAGTGGGATACAGTGAGTTTTTGTCCTTAGTTGAAGTTCTTTCTTTCAATGTTATTCAACATCATGAATGCTGTATAGAACAATGTATGTATGTGTTACTTAGATATACATAAAACAATGTATGTATGCTGGGTAACCTAGTAATCTGTTTTGACCTCATATTAAAGTTACCTCAATGCATGCTGCAGCCGTGAGTTCACTCACCGAGTTAAATCTGTATCAATGTCCAAATTCACTTCACAAGAAGTTGAAGCCCTTCAAGAAGGTGGTAATCAGGTACACATGAAACCTGATATTACCCAATTTCCTTTTCTCCATGGAAGCTATTCTGGTTTCTGACATTATGTTTGGTTCTTCAGCGTGCAAGGGAAACATTTCTTAAAGATTGGGACCCACGAGAGCAAAGACTCCCAGATAACAGGTGATACACTTTTAAATTTTTACACGTGATAAAAATAGACTTGTCATGCATGGTCTCTGTTACAGCAACGTGGAGAAAGTTAGAGAGTTTATAAAGAGTGTGTATGTGGATAAGAAATTTTTCGCTTCAAAGGCCTCTGGAAAACCTCCTAGAGATACACTGGTAAGATACAACATCTTAACAAATGAGCCAATTTAGGTGTACTAATTTGTTCCATACCATTTTGTTATAAACTTATCAGAGCCTTAGAAACCATGAAGATGAAACAAGAAGAGCTAGTTCATATCATTCTTACTCTCAAAGTCCACCATATGATTATCAATATGAAGAAAGGCGTTATGGGAAACAGGCTCCTGCACTTACTAAAAAGCCTGGATCAGATAGAGGAATGTTGAGGTTTTTGAGCACCAGTCGTTTAAGTGATCATGGGCAAGAGGATAGTTTTGCTAATGAGGTGGCTAATGCTCCTCGAGTCTCGGATTATTCAGTGAGTAGTGGAGCTGACCCGTTTAGATCTGGTACCCAATCGCCACCTCCCTTCCAGAAGGAACTTGGATTCAGTAGTCTCAGTAGAGAAATGTCAAGAGATAATTTAACTGAAGATGTCCAGCAGCAGTCTTCAGTCAACACATTTTCCAGCCCAAATGCTAAAGGAGAATCAGATCAGGTTGAACTACATTATCCATGTTGTTACTTGTTACACACTATACTGTATATATATTTTGTAGATTCTGATTTTTATTTTATTGTGGGTTATTTTAGAAACCTGGTCCTTCAGGCACCACATCTACAGCTTCAGCTGAATTTGGAAAGTTTGATGGTCTGGATCTATTTAGTGCACCATATGCACCTCAATCCCAATCCACCACCACATCTGCACCTTCAGCTGAATCTGAAAAGTTTGGTGGTTTAGACCTTTTTAGTGCACCATATCCATATGCACCTCAATCAACCACACCTGTGATTGCTCCTTCAGTCATTGACCTATTTGACTTTTCAGCTACATCTTCTTCAACTTTGTCCATAAATAATAATAATAATAATAATAATAATAATACTTCCCAGCCATCACATAATCCTGTTCCACCAACTTCAAGTGTAAATCAGCAGTTCCAACCTTTTGACCCCTCGTCTTTGGATTTATTTACTGTTATGCCACAACAGCAGACAACCACCCTGAAACCGAAAGATATACAAAATGAGGGATGGGCCACATTTGACATGCCTTGGCATGCACAACCTGCTAAAAATTCAACCACCGTTGTGCCGGAAACTTCCACCAGTGAAGGGTCTTTTGGGAAATTCGACCAACCTCCATCTAATTCTATGGACAATAACTCTCAATGGTCATTTCATCAAGACTTTGGTGTTGGTGATATTGGGATCCCAGTTGGAGTTGGGGTTCAGAATAATCAGGTATGCTGTCTTTGCAATAGGTTTGTGTTATCAACTCAAACATAATTACATGTATTCTATTCATTTGTATAAGTAAAACGACATTATAATATCGCTCTTAATTTTGTTTAGCAGTCATCATGGAGTTCATTTCAAGAGTCTAATACACCTTTTCAAGATCCTTTAGCTGTTGATCCGTATTTGGCATGGGGGATATCAGAGGTAACCCTTAATTTACCTACAAATATCATTATTAGGAAGCAAACCATTTTTTTAATATGTTATATATTTATTTACAGAATATGAAGATGAAACAAGCTGATGTGGATGCCAGACCTGCTTCTTTTCTTAACACAACACCACATGTCGTTGGATCATTAGACTCTTCAAATGAACTCCCTGTACTGGTAGGATGCTTTAATTTATTTATAAACACATTATAATTATCATTATTAATTTTCTTTTTATATTTGATTGTTTCAGGATGCAGCACAATCACATGGAATTGATACAAAATCTCGCAATCCGTTTGATTTTCCTAGTGATGATGATCTGGAAGCTAGCAACATGGTAAGTTTTTGATGTATATAATTTTTTTTTTCACTAATTCATACTAGCATACTTCTCAAATTCTGTTTTTTTTTTCTTTTAAATAAAATAAAATAAAACTCCAAATGCAGTTCTTGGACATGGGCTCTTTGCAATCTAGTCTGCCAAATCATAATTGGTTTCCTGAAAGTGCAGCACCAGGCTTGCAGATTCCGTAAGTGTGTCTGTGTTGTTTTACTTAATTTTACATAATTTATTTAATTTTAGTTTAATGTTTTTGGGTGATTTTGTAGGAACATTCAAGCTCAGGGACCTGTGGCTTCAATTGGTGGTAATCCGTTTGGATAAGGGAGATTCTTTTGTGATTTTGTTTACATGGTTATGTTAAAAATTGTTATTCTTGCTTCCTTGTAAAAATAAGGTGTGTTTGGGTTTAATGGTTTTGGGGTTTCTAAATTACTTGAAAGTTGTGATGTACTCGTTTTGGCAATTTTAAAGCAGTCGGTGGAAGGGGACAACGCTGGCTGCTAATAGGTGGCATGTATAATCTTTAAGGAAGGAATGCTAGTCTATTCATAATAAATAAATAAAAAAAAAAAAAAAACACAGGATTTTGAACGAGTCATCACTGAGTAACATATGATATGAGTTGCGTCCAAGAGCCTGATTAATAAAGTTTTTTGCAATTAGGTAGGTACATTCGATTAGTTGATTTTAAGTTTTTAACCTGCTTTGGTATAAGCAAAACGTTTCCGATGGTCTACATCAACCCGTTTTATAGATGTCTATTTCTTTTGGAATACAATGAGCACGGAAAAAGTTTTTGATCGAGATGGTGTTTGGATCCATATTTTGAAATTCATTATTCGATTGGACATATATTATAGAGAAGACAACTTTAAAGTTATGTATATATTTTTAGTATTTTTTTTATATAGTTTACCAAACTAAAAACTATCAATTTTAACAGCCTATTATAAGTTATTGCTATTATTATTATCTTGTGTATTACTTATAATTAAACAGTAAATTTGCTTTGGACACAATCTACCTTCCCACCAATACCATTGGCCTCCAACAACAACAAATATTGTCTTCTATCATCATTATAACCAATCAATACACCATTCATCAGTCATCACTACCACCATGAAAATAATCTAAATTCTTTTAACGGATGTGGTTTCTGATGGCACGCACTTAAAGTACATGCGCTTAAAGAAGTAATGGGATAGAGAGAGAGAGATGTATTGGTAGGATAATTTTCACAAAGTAGCAAGAAAAGATCACACGCTTAGCAAGAAACTAAAACCCAAACAAAAATAATAATAATAATAATACTTGGACAATATGAAAGTGATCAAATGTGTACAAAAGTTAGTTTAATGTACAAAAATATCAATTTACTTGTGTTTACTGAATAACAAATATAATTTTAAATGTGTTTTTTAAACCGATAAACCGCTAGACATAACAATCAATCAAAATGATATTTTTTATAATCAATAAGCATGATTTTAATTCTATGCAAAAAAAATATAAATATAAATATATAAAAAATAATAATTAGTTACCTTATAATTTTTTAGATAATAATAATAATTTTTAGTTGGGCAAAATATGTGAAAAAAGCAAAACATATTCAAATGTTCTTTTCTTTTATCTTTTATGCAATTAATTATTTCATTTGTACTTTATTTTTATAATCCAAAAAAGTTTGCTGATTAGTTCAATGGGATTTGCTAAAAACTTTATTATATTAAGAAACATACTCAAAAGATGTTTGCACTTTGCAATAACTTCTTTAAATATAAATTTTTAGTTAAAAGTCAAAAACTAAAATATATTTAACAAATCCCAGAGTGCCAGGTCAGACTCCCGTAAAGAAGTATGTTAGAGAACGGTTCAAATACCGTTTTGTAAAATTCCCAATTACTTTAACTTCACCGGAAATCCATAAGAACCCTAGAATTTGACGACAGTTTTACCTGGAAATTGCCCTTCGAAAGCCAAATCGGAAATCTAAAGCCATGGATGGGAGTATCCTGGAATCAATCGGAGTGGAAATCATCGGCGTAATGTCTCCGGTCTCAATTTGCATGCTCCTAGTCGTCCTTATTGTCTACTCTCTCACATCCTTCTCCTCTTCGTCTGGCGAGCCCATCCGTACCGCTGCTAATCTCGTCTACCTCGAAACGCCGACGGATTCTACATCCGAGAAGATCGAAGGCTCACTACTCAATGCTCTTGTCTTTGTCATCCTCATCGCCGCTGTAACTTTCCTTCTTGTTCTCCTTTATTACTACAACTTTACCAATTTCCTCAAGAACTACATGCGTTTCTCGGCCTTCTTTGTGCTTGGTGTCATGGGCGGTTCCATCTTCATCTCCATTATTCGACAGTTCTCGATTCCGATTGATGCTATCACGTGTCTCATTTTGCTTTTCAATTTCACAGTCGTCGGAGTTCTCTCGATTTTCGCTGAGGGTATACCGATACCGATATTGTTGAGGCAGGTTTATATGGTCCTTCTGGGTATAATTGTGGCTGCGTGGTTTACTAATCTGCCAGAATGGACAACTTGGACTCTGCTTGTAGCATTGGCTCTCTACGATTTAGTTGCGGTTTTGGCTCCTGGTGGACCTCTTAAGATCTTGGTTGAATTGGCATCTAGCAGAGATGATGAACTTCCTGCTCTGGTTTACGAGGCTCGGCCAACAGTTTCTCGGAACCCTAGAGGGTCTGGTTTTGGGCTTTTGGTTGGCGGGGCCTCTTCTGAGTCAGTGGAGGTTGAGATGACCCGGCATAATCCTACTGATTCCAGGAATGGTGGTGATTCCAATGAGACAATGGAGGAGACTTCCCCATTGGTTCCAAGCCTAAGAGATAGGATGAGGTCTAGTTCAAGTGGCAGTAGTGAGTTTTCTTCTACTACTGATCGCATCCATCAAACTGGAACTGATATCATTGAAGACGAAGAAGTGGATTTGTCAGCACTTGGTGCGATTCTGGGCATGGGGGGGAATGAATCTAGAAGAGGCAGGGAGATTATTGATGAGGAGGAGACTAGTAGAGGCATAAAACTCGGGCTAGGTGACTTTGTTTTTTATAGTGTTCTTGTGGGTAGAGCTGCAATGTATGATTTGATGACAGTGTATGCTTGTTACCTTGCTATTATATCTGGATTGGGGTGCACTCTTATACTGTTATCAGTGTTTCGTCAGGCTTTGCCAGCTCTCCCGATCTCTATAGCACTGGGCATCATGTTCTACTTCTTAACCCGGTTATTAATGGAACCCTTTGTGGTTGGGACATCCACAAATTTAATGATGTTTTGACTCTACTCTCATACAGCCAGGTTACTTCAAATCATTCTAGAGGGATAGGGGATAACTTTCACCTTTTGAGTTGTAAACTTTTTGCAAGTTGATGGATGAATCATTCCATGCTGCAACTATCTTCATGAATTCCAATCCTGTAAGTGTTTATGATTTTCTTGATTCAAGAGTAAATGAGATCATTCCCCAAATTGTAACCAGAAATTTTCAAGTGACATACATGTTTTATGTTTATGCCTCTATCTTGATGGATTCTTGTAAATTTAATAATTCAGCTTTAATATTTGTCATACATGCTGATTATATTTATACAGGATTCACATGTGGAGAATCATGTATGGCTAATGGGTCTATGTAGAGTGGATGACAATGACATTTATTTAACGCAACACAAATATGACTGAGTTAGTTTGCAGTATAAGCATTCTTGTTGTATGCTATGCATATGCATATGAAATTATCAAAATTGTGGTTAGGCATAGGCATAGGCATAGGTGTAGCTAGTTAGTTTTGAGTCTTGTCAAATATTGTAAATTCATGAATTATAATATTTCTGTTGCAATCCTACTTGGTTTCTTGCTACCATAACCATAACCATTACCATGCCAAATGCAAATTATGCTCTTTCTTCTTTATGTAGAGCTGGTTTGCAGCCATGAAGATAATAATATTTCATGTATCTTGGGCTGATGGAAATCTTATGATTTACTGTTCAGTTTACCACATACTGCAAAAAAGAATTTGGTTTTGGGTTCATGATTGGTGTAGTGTTCTTAAGATCTTTCTAATCTTATCACCAGTTGTGCAAGAATCTCCTTAACTCATTTGTAATTATCACGACAAAGAATGTCTATGTGCAGTTTTAGAATGATCTCTATAGTCTAACTCTACGAATAATAAAACATGCTAAAAGAGTATATTGATACAAGAAAATATGGACATGCATTTACCCATCAAAAGGACAAAAGCATATTTTATAACACCAAATGTCACAACTAATATAATAATAATAATTGAATAAATAACTGTGTTATTCCCGCTCTTCTAGAAGTCTCATCCCTATACTAAGTGCATGCTACTCCTTGAATAACCCGATTGAGTGGTTTAACAAGGGAATCGACAATATTGTCTTTGGTGGGTACTTTATATATTATGACAGCACATTCACCAACAGTCTCACAAATGAGATTTTTTTTTCCGAGTTTGTAGTTAAACTTATACTTAGTAAATTACAAATTTGGTTCTTAAGCTTTACCAAAAGAACAAATTACCGAAATTGTCCATGTGGTTTGGCAAAATTTTATATTTGATCCCTATCTTTTTTTTTTTTTTTTTGCACCCGCACAGTGCGTATGGTATGATGTTGGGGTTTTAGTCCTTCATAGACGTAGTGCCTTTTATATTTTCTTTTTTATTTATTTATAAACTGTTTATTATTTATTAATTAAAAAACATCGTCTAACCCAAACCATAACCCCACCACAAGAGGCATGTAATTGTCCTCTTCTCTTTATTTTCTCTCCACCATCAAGAACATCTTCCTTCTTAGCCACCATGTTCTCCCTAATCGACCACTAGCGGTCATCACCGATGACCGTTCTTTTTCTGCACAATGACCGCTCTTCTTCTGCACATAAAGATCAACAATCCTTTGCGCCACCTCCATTTCATCTCAGCTTTCTCTGATCAACCCATCCACCTCCACCTTCGGCAACCTCACCTTTACCCGAAGAGAACTACACTCTTCCCAACCCACCACCACTTTTTGCCCTAACCATTGAAATCTCCGGCACAGGCCTCCATGTCAGCATCATAAGCTCCAACCTCTCCTTCACCTTCACGTTTAAACCAAGCAATACCCTTTTAATTGCCACTTCTTTGCCACCTCCGACAGTTTGGGTAACTCGACTAGGAAATTGACCTTCCTGGGTTCAAGATTTTATTCTGGATCAATGAGAGTAGCTCTGATCCCATATCTCAGAATAGCCTTCGATTCCAATAGAACATGGCCGGCATAATCCTTAATCATTTCAAAAACTTCAATGGTGTTTTATAATTTGAAGATTTCGTCGTCGATCTTCATCACTTTGGCTTTCTTCTTCCCTCCTCCGACACCTCGTAAACTGTTCCCCATAGTTGTTGCATATGATAGAGATGTTAGCTGTTCCCCAAGTTGGATTCTGAATTGAATAATTATATAATGGAAATGTGAACACGATTGAGTCAAAATTGGATGAGATTTGAATTGGGAAAAAAGTGGGGCAATGGTGGCAGCCGATTTGGATACGGTGGTGGTGTGTTCAGCACATCGTGGCGGCTTCAGAAGAACGATGGCTGGTTACCGGTGGTGGTTCTAGAAACAGGTCAGACAAAGGGAAGTCGTTTTATGGCGGTGGTGGTAATGGCCGGTGACTGGCGGTGAGAGTTCATGAAGTGGGAGTGCAAGTGGGTCCCATTAGTCACTTCATTTATTTTCCTTAACTAAAAAAACCGAAAAGGAAAATGTTTATTGTAGTCATTTTCTATTAGACAGCAAAATAAAAGATAGAAACCAAATCCAAAATTTTGACTAACAGGGACAACAAAAACCACAAGTTTAGTCTAAATTTCCAGATCGTCCAAATGTTTTCCCTAGTTTTGCATTTTGTTATGCTTCCGTCTTATATAACTTCAAATATGGACGGAACTTGCATTTGAGTAAATCACATGACTACATTTGCAATGAAATATTAACTTAAAAGTGACGTTAGGACAAACGTAAACTGTAAATTTGGGACATGGGGTCGTAAAAATTATGGATGATTTTCATGGTGCAAAAGCTAAAACATTTTGTGGTTTTGGTACGTAAAAAACTTGAAAGAATTTAAATGCATTTTTTTACACTATTTTAATTTTCATTTCAATGTTTTTATATTTAGAAAATTAAAACATCCCACCCCACCCCACCCCCTAAGTAACATCCCCCTCTCTCTAGAGTACACATCAACAGAATTTCAGATTTAATTCTCACATACACAAAGATTAACAAACGCCTGCATATCAATGACTTTAAGATTTAACACACAATGATGAGCGGACACATCTCGTACCAAGCATTAAACCCTCTCTTACCTCATTACTCACTGAAACGAAACTGATGTACACCCATGAACTCAAAAAGAAAACCGATGAACACCTATAATCCCAAAAACAAAAACGATTTGTAAACAAAAGTCTATTTGTGTATGTTTGTATTTATTGTCAACACTGACAAAACACAAAAATCGATTTGTTTGTGTTTGTGTTTTTGTTCATCCTGGATAAATCACCATCACCTGCAACTATGTGAAGCAGCCCACAACCACAATCTCCCCTTTCTTCTCCTACCATTCTTCAAAAATCAATTCTCAGAATCCCACATCCGAATGGCAAACATTCCTTTCAAGTTTTTCCAATGAACTTGCAATTTCGTGTAAAGCATAAGGACCAAACCTGTTATTTACACCCATGTTGTCATAGTAGATTTCTATTTGATTCAAGAAACAAGCAACTAAGCATCAAATTTCGCTATTTACACGACTATTGTAGCTGAATTGTTAGTTCTGTTTTGCATTGAACTCTTCCTACTAACAACTCCCAAGGGATGAAAGAAAAACCTTTCTCTCAGACTTAAAAGTTATAAGGGCACCCAACTTGTCATCCTGGAACTTAGACTTGTTTGAGAGTCTGAGGTGTTTGATTATTCTATTTCTACTGATAGGGAAAATATAATAATCAGGTTTTCTCAATTGCTTACACTGAAATGAACATATATAATCCTAATATCCGTGCGTGCAGGTTGTGCAACAAATGGCTCAGTTCAATTTTAGTCTGAAACCAAAACCAAGCCATGCTAATTTGGATTTCAGCCAACAGAAAACATTCAATTTCAAATATTGCCTATTGGGCTATAAGAAATCATGCAAATATATGAAATCAAATATATTATATATTAGCTTGTATGTTAAAAAAATAACATGTATTTTACTGAAGTAGTCAAGTATGTGATTATTAATAACAAACTAAACAATGTGTCAACTCAAACAACAAAAGAGCTAACAATGTTTGTGTACCTAGCCCGAAATTTGTCAGTTTTTAAAAGAGAATCAAAACAAACACAAAAAAATATGATCAGCAAAAGCAGCTCAAAATATTAGGATTTAGGAGATGTTAACATTATCTCATTTTCTTCTTAGGCTGTAGTCTCTTGAAAGCCATAAACGTAACTGCTGCTGATAAAGAATACCTGCATAATAAACAATTAGTATATTAAAATCCAAGTAAAGTAGAATCATGAAACAAAGGATTAGAGCATATACCAAGTGATTGTATAGTTGAGATGATCCTGTGGCATTACTGAACTGCGTATCAATGCAGTGTTATCTTTTGGAATTGGGTATGGATTACTAGGGTTCACATTTTCATTCACTGCTTCAATGTATATCGTGTTCTCAGGAAGCCCACAACAACGAGCAATCCCACCAACATCAACATAAAACCATTGAAATGAATTCGGATCATTTGCAGGTACAAAAATACTAGGTTTCTCACTTCCACGTATAACTCCAACAACCTCATCCACCTTTAACTGTTCTTCCTCTTCCTGTACAAAACATGTGTAACAGTTTTCAACACATCAACTTTACTTCTTCTCATCATCATCCATATTTCATATGTTCTTAACTCTTAATTATTAAGCATACACATTACACACACCTTTTCTGTAATATCAGCCTTCTTAGACCAAAGTCTCCACCAAGAACTGCTCTCTTGTCTAGTAGTAGATTCAGACTCCATGTTTGTAGGATGTTCTTGTTCCTCCTCTTTTAGAATTTTCACAGACTTGTCTCTCCAACTTCGTGGGACCCATCCTCTGTTCACTAAGATAGGCGTCTGCAAGCTGCAGTATGTTTTCCACAAATGTACATATTTAGAAAGAATGGAGTAATGTGAATATACACAAAAATGGTGAAACAACCTTTCTGGATTGCTTGGGAGGGGCATAAGGGGGGTAATCAGGTAATATCCGTTTTCTGTCACTCCTGATATGCTTCTAGAACGTGGACCAACATATATGGATTTTGATTCATCAAAAACTCCTTTGCAGATCACCCTTCTGAACTCTAAAGAGTCCAGATTTTCACCTGAAGGGGTGATGTAATTGCAGTTAATAGGTTCCATTTGTAATCTACTCTGTTTGTACTCCAACATTTTCACCTGCATGATCTCATCGTTTCAGGTAGTTATATAACTGTATCACTATGTATGGTTGTGGTTTGAAGATCAACAATAAGGTTCAAAGCAGCATTTTAACCTTTTCTTGTCTTCTGAAGATCTGCCAAGAGCCTAATCCAAAAGTGATAGCTCCCGGAACAAAAAGAAGGAATCTTGTCCATCCTCTTTGCTTCTCTGATAGATGACAAATGTTTAGATCAAGGTCCTTTTAAGAGATTCTCAATAGCTTTAAACTAAAGCATAAAATAACACAAGCTAATTCACTTTCTGTACCAAATTTAAGAGTCAAACGGACAGATATTTTGAGAGAAAAGAGGAACCTTGAGGTCGAGAAGAAGATGTTGGTAGTGGAGGTGGAGGTGGAAGTGGAAGTTCAGCGGCAGCAACGGCGGAGGAGTATGAGTATACAAATGAAGAAGATAGTTGTTCTGGGACTGGGACTGGGACCCACCTCGATGAAGAAGCTCGAGCAATTCTTCTTGCTGTTAAGAAGCTTTTGGAAACGGAAGCCATGGGAATAATGACAAACTTCACATCTATTGTGAAGCTTTATCCTCCTCTTCAGAACCTACTTGGCCAAGCATACTGAACAAGCGCTTGATCGCAACCTGGCAATGAGAGAGAAGAAGATATCAGAAAAATTAAAAATCAAAACAAAGCCAGAAATTGGAATCTAAATAGGATGCAACACTGAGTCCCCGTTAATCTTATATTGATGCATTATTGTTTACAATATATCGGGTGATCTGAACCATGATTTTGCACAATAGAAGATTACCAATTGAGAGATCTAAGAATAACCGGATAGCAGGACAAAGAGAGAAACCATGATCATGCTACTACCGAGCATAAGATAGAAATTCAGCATACCTGTATAATAAGTAAGTGACGACGGAGGATTGGAGATTTTAGCAGTAGAGCGAATTCTGGTGGCTAGGGTTTATGCCACTCTGCACTGCTACGAAGGCGATTAAGGGAAGGAGTGAGTCGATCAGTCGAGTATGCGATTCGACTCCTGTTAAAGTAATAATAATGGGTTCAAAAGTTAAAACACGAGTTTGACTTAATTTGCGAGTAATTTAGTTGTTATTAGAATAAATTAATCGGATCGTCCTGTAGGTATCAAAATACACGTCTGGTTCATATTTTTAAAAATTAGTTCGGATCATCCCTCATTAGTTTAAAACCTACACTCTTCATCCCTAAAAGATGAATTTGTTGTCCGTTCTAGATTTAAAATAGCCATAATACCCTTCTTTATTTATTTTTCAATTAATCCAATAACATTTATTATTATTTTTCTAATTTTAAAAAAAAATGGATCCCACTTCCACCACCCCTCATCCTCTACTTTCACCTCACCCACCCAAGCTGTATCATGTATTCTCTTTAGACCTGAAGAAAACCACACACCACCATCACCTCCAAAACTCCGACAACCACCCCCTCCCCTCTTAATTCAAAATCCAACTATTGGAGGTTCATCTAAAGTCGGAAACAAGAAGCTCGTGAGATATTTCAACGTTTCCCTCATTCCTAAGGTTAAAACCTACTTTTCCCATAATGAAAACCTAGTTCGCACATGTGTGCTCCTCGCAATCAATGGCTCTGTTGCAGTCACAGGGTCGGTGAAGTCCTCACCACTAGAGGTACATCCGGCCTCCAATCCGCCATTGTTTCCACAGTCGGAATCGAAGCTCCATAGCTGAATCTGTACCTTCGTCGCCTCCTTCTTTACTTGTGCACCGCCATCGATTCTTCTCTGGTCTCATTAAATCTCTAGTAAGTGGTAACCCTTACCCCGTCCGGGAAATAGAGTTTGGGTTTCAAACCTTTAGATGGTGGCACTGATTTAGGATTTGTTTTTGAACCTCCACTGCACCTTCTGCTCCTATGGTGGTGTTAGTGTTGGCTGATGATGGTGTTGTTTATCCATCTGTGGTGGTTGTCTGAACTATGGAGAGGAAGACGAACCCGGGGTATGGATTTGTGAGGTTTTAGATCTAAGATATCGATTTGATTTTAGGGTTTATGTTCAGGTTTCTTTTTTATTTACGAGATGAATGGTGGTGTTTGTCAGATGTATTTGGTGGCCGGAGGTCACATGTGGCCGTAGGTTGATGGTTGCCGGAGGTCGATGGTGGCCAGAAGTGATAGTGGTGGGAGGTGGTCGAGAAGTTATCAAATGTATTGGCCATTTCTTTTTAAATGCAGTAATAATTATTTTTTATAATAAACAAATCAATAATAATTAATAAATAACAAATAAATAGAAAATAAATCAAAAATAAATAAATAAGGGCAAAATGGTCTTTTTATGCGCGGAGGGACTAAGCGTGCAAGAAAAAACTAACCTAGGGATGGTCCGAGTTAATTTTTGAAAATAGGGACCAAACGTGTATTTTAACACATTCACCAAGGACGATTCGTGTAATTTACTCTTGTTATTATTTATCTAAGTTTGAATGGTATTAATTAAACCGGAAAATGACTTACAAGCCCAACTAAATTTTCAAACCGTTCAAAAAACTTCAATAATATTTTGTCCGTTCAAGAAAACCCTACAAACTTAACTTTTGTCTAGAAAAACCTAACAAAGTTTTCAAACCTTCAAAAAATCCTAATCATTTTTTGTCTGTTCAAAATATTAAATTCGTTGATTTTTTTAACAGACAAAACATGATTAAGGTTTTTTGAACAGTTTTAAAACTTCGTTGGTCTTACAAGTCAATTTTCCAATATGGTGACTTCCTAAGAGTTGAATAAAAATGTAACATAGTTGAGTTTTTTTAGACAAATGTTAAGTTTGTTGGGTTTTTTTTAATAGAGAAAACATGATTGAGGTTTTTTGAACGGTTTGAATATTTTATTGGGCTCGTAAGTCCTTTTCCCAAGTTTTAAACTATTAAACCTTTTTTAGTCACTTGGATGCTTATCATGAAATGGTTTGTAGTTTGTGTGGTCACTAATCATAAATTGTAAACACCATCACAAGTATTTTTGGTGGTTAGTAGTGAAGTATTACAGTGGTAAATTGTGGTGGGGAATAGAGACCATCACATCCAATCAATTGTTTCTCTTGTGTTTTTCTTTATATCTCTTTACCTTTTTCCATTTTTCTCTACATTTAATTCATTCAAAACATATATTTTTTATTTTAATAATCAAAATATAAAATGGATATAATTATGAGTATCTCAACATTTTAGTGGTTGAATGTGGTGATTAGTTGACACCCATCATTATAGTGGTTAGTGGTGGGTATACCGGATGACCTAATAACAACAAGTTTTGTATCTCACAAGTAATAAAAATTTGAGACCATCCACGACCACGTTTACGAGGGTGTTTGGCAAAACTTATTTAAATTAGCTTTTAACTTTTTAACTTATATCTTATTAACTTGTAGTGGTGTAACATCTATAAAATTCATAAAAAATTAAAAAAAATTCAAGCATTCAAAAACCAATATTTATTACAAAATGTTTTCAAAATAGTTTCATATCAGAGTATCCCATAAATCAAAATCATAAAATGCAATGAGGTACACGATCACACCTTCGCCTTCTCGCGATCATCCAAAGGACCTGAAACAAAATTCAAAATTGTAAGTCCGAAGCTTAGTGAGTTCGCCCAAAATACCAACGCCATACAAGTCATAACCATATCATAGCAAACAAATAAACAACATGCATATAGAGTCTACAGTATGACTGGATCTGATAGTTTCGTTTTTATTACTTCTTTTCATAGTTTATTTTTAGTTAAAACCATCTCATTTTAGTTAATCTTCATGCATATTTTTCTCTTTTTGTTATTTTTATCCTTTACTGGGTGCTTTCCAGTCTTTTGAGCTTATTTGCAGGATTTATCGAAGACATTTTGTTATTGGAGGCTTAAAAGGGTGCAGGATTTATGGAAGCTTGCGGGTTGCCTGTGAATTTGAAGTGGTGCGAATGAGCTTGGTGCTTGCATAAACAAGAAATCAATTTGGACTTAATTTTTAAGCGAGAATGATGATGAGGCGACGCGGACTCGAGCTACGGAAGATTAATGGAGCATTGGATCGATCATTAAAGGCTTTGGAATGGCACAAATGAGCTCTAAAGAGTTATGCATGTGGGCTGAAGTGTGAATGAGAAGATTGGGCTGGATTGTATTTTAAACGGCTCAAGTCCCACATTCAGCGTGACCCACGCGGTCCCCGTGGACCCATACGCGGTCCGCGTGAATTGTGATGAAATGAACCCGAGTTTTGACTTGTTGACCCTATTTGTGGAAGGTAGGTGGGTGGATTTTGGCACCTTTTTGAATCTGGAAACCAACTCCTTTTTGCTGGAGATTGAAGGTATTTTGGCATATCATGACTTGAAGAACACACACCATTTTCTCTCAAGAAGGCTTTGGAAGATTTGAAGAATTTTTGGAAGATTAGTGTAATTTCTTTCCATCTTGCATCTAATACAATGTTTGGTACCACTAAACTATATTGCATTTCTTTTACTTTGGTCATGTTTGGCTAAACTTTAATTTGGTTGATTAGGGTTTAACACATGGATGATTAGTTGCTTTGAAGACTTATTATTATCTTGTGTTTGAAGTTTATGTAAATGTTTTCTAGTTAAATATCTTGTTGTGTTTATTTATCTTTGATCATGAGCTTGGATGAGTGAATGCTTTTTTTTTGTTGACTAATTTCTTGGTTAAGTAATGGACACTCAAATTAGTAAGCAACAAATGGTTTATATGTTTGTTTTCATTTCATTTAAACCATGGAAATGTTTCCTCCATAATGATAATGTAAGCATCTGATTATCTTTTGGACTTGGTAACTCTTATAACTTAAAGCTAATTGATTTTCACAAGATTTTATGCTTCATTGATTTTGTGACTTTAATTAAGGAAATGTGTTAAGAGCTCCTCTAACCATTTTAATATCTAAGAAGAGTTGACGTAATTTGTGCTTATGAATTGCTATAGCCAACTTGAACCAATTCACAAGTGTTATTCCATCTAGTCTAATGATAAGTCAATCATGTCATCCATGTGGAGTATCCCAAAATCAACTAATTTCACTCCATTGTATTTAAGCAAATCATTTACTTGTTACTTGTCATATTTACATTCTAGCTAGTTTTAATTTTGTCAAACAATCAAAAAGAATTACCCCCCCCCCCCTTTTTACTTTTAATTTTGTTTTGCAAGTATTTTAAAAAGAGGTTTACATAGAGATTTAAGTTGAACCAATCTCCGTGGATACGATCCCTTTACCACTATACACTATTTTAGTGTGTAATACTTAGGGTATTTATTTTGTTGGCCTCGAAAACCACCAGGATCGCCCTCACCGAGCCTGTAGTCTATCTGGCCCACTCTCAGTACCTTCAACATGTCTGGACCGCCCTCCCGGGCCCTCAGCCTGTCTGGACCGTTCTCCGGGACTTCGGCCTACTGATATGCCCTAATGGGTCTGTAGTCTATCCGGTCCGCCCTGGGTCTGTTGGCATTCAGCACAAAACAAGTCCGCCTCAACCCAACCCCACATACGAAATCAACACATAAATATCATAAGCTAGCTAGCATGTACAAACAGTCATACCGATCTAACAGATCACTAATCATATCATCATCCTATATACCAAGACATCGACCTAACAGATCACTAACATATCATCATCCTATATACCAGGATACCGACCTAACAGGTCACTAAGCATATCATTGTGCAATAACCAGAATAACAATCCAAAAAAGGTCAGCATTGGTGCCTTCAACACTGTTAGTATGGTGATGACAACTCACCTTACAAGTAGTGTTGAAATTAGGAAGATATATCTCGAACTCTCGGCTCCAAACTTAAACGCATGTAACCATCATATATTGATTCCATTAAAATCCCAAATTACCAAAATACCCTTAGAAGTCAAACTTGGTCAACCCTTGGTCAAAGTCAAAGTCAACGGTCAAGGTCATAGTCCATGTTGACCCAACTCGTCAAGTTCATCCACTGACTCGTCGAGTTCCTCCAGAACTCGGAAACCAAAAACTAGGTCCAACTCGCCGAGTTACTTGAGTAACTCGTCGAGTTTCCTTCAGAACTTCAAAACCGAAAACTCGAGTCGACCCGCCAAGTTAACTGAGTAACTAGTCAAGTTCTTCGGTGTCCAGAAGATTGGCAAAACCTTCATCAACTCGCCGAGTCATCTCACCCACTCGCCGAGTTTACTCAGAATCTAGAAAGCGAGTAAACCCTAACCAACTCGTCGAGTTGGCTTATGCAACTCGTCAAGTTCCTTCAGCCCAATTCTCATTTAGACGCTTTTAAACGAACCCAAGGCTCCAAACTGTAGATCTATCATCCTAGGGTGTAGTTATCACGTAAAGTTGCTAACTTTACGTGCATGCAAGGCTTTAAGAAGCTAAAACACTCAAAACTAGCCTTATGAAGAGGTTTAGGACATGGAAAAGGGCTAGGGCTATATAGAGTTGAGAACTTTATGTTCATGAGGGCCTAAAGGAGTCCAGACCATGTTCTCATGACAAGCTCAAACCCGAGAATGACCCCATTTTGCACCAAAATGCCCATATACTTGCATAACAAGAGATCTAAGAAATGGAAAGCCAAGGTAAAGACTTTTTACCTCCAAATGGATGCCAACACGATGTAGATGTTGGATCTACAAGCTTCTTCTCGTCCCAAGCTTCTAAATCTCCAAGCATCTTCAAATAATGCACTAAACACACACTTTTAGCCTCACACACACTCAAAATAAGGGCTAGCTCAATTAGGGTTTCTCTCTGGATGTGAAAGTGGCAAGGGTGGCTGGGGGGAAAGGACTTAAGGTCCTTTAAATAGGATGTAAACCCTAAAAATTAGGGTTTTTATTCATAGCCTCTACTCAACGAGTTGGTTCCTCCAACTCGTCGGGTAGGTTCTAGAATCTATGCGACATTGTCAGTTTCTACACGACGAGTTGGAGCAACCAACTCATCGAGTAGGTCCAGAATTATGAATATAAAAGCTTTAAATAGATACCTGAGAGTCGGGATGTCACAAGTGGTATCAAAATGATTTTTTTTTAAAAAGTGTTTGGCTAAGCTTATCCGGTGTCAGAATGCGATAAGCTTATTGATTTATAGTGTATGTTTTTGTATTGATGTAGGTTTAGGTTAAGGAATATATTTTTTAATTTCTTTG